ATATATATACACATACATATAATATATATATTTATCTAAAATATTTTATAGTTTTTATATATATATGCGTATAATAATATAAAAATGATTATTCCAAAAGACACCTTAAATTATTCGAAATTTTAATAATACTATTTCATATATATACGAATCAATTAAAAATTTCACTCTTTATTTTAATCAATTTAATGATATTATTTTCTTATTGTTAGATACCTAACTTAAATAAAGAATAACAATAATGCGAACTTCCGTTTCGAATTCCCCTAGATGGATAGATATTTTTCTATTAATAGAGATGTATCTCTCTCTCTTTCTTGTGAAACGTGTTGAACCTTTAGGATTCTGCGTTTACATTCGATGGTTTGTTACCGCGCCATTGAGAATCAAGGATCGACCCTCTAAACTTTTTAAAATGTTCGCTCAGTCGTGCGTGCGTGCATTAGTTCCTTCGTCAAATTTTGCTTTCGTTGCAATATGGACTTTAAGTTACTACGAGATGAGGAAAGATAATCCTTGTATAACTGTCCCTAAAAGATATTTTCTAAAAGGTGGATAAGTTTCCTTGTATTCGTAACGTATCATCGTGTATAGAAATCCCCATATCCCTGTACACGTATTATACACACATATACAAACATATAAAATACATACGTGCATTATGTATTTGTATAAAATGGGTGATAGACATGAACGCGGAATAAGAGATTCGAGTCGCTTTGTCAAAAAGGCAAAACGTGAACTTAAACTGTCGGTAATAGGAGCGGAATGAAAATACAATTGTCTATGGTGGTGGGGGAGGGGGGAATAATAAAGTAAAAATCTCCCTATCATAGAATTTTTTACTAGCCGTCGGATGGTATACTTTCTATTTTAAATTTAAAGTTAAATTTTCTTTTTTTCTTTTCTCTAAAGAATTAAATTCTTTCCTATTCAACTTTCCCATTCACCCTGATGAGTCTATCGGTTTGATCATTCTCATTGTCGGTGATGTTGTTTTAGGCTGATAGATTCATAGAAGAATAGTTCGAGATATTTTTGTGATTTGTTTATTGAAAATTATTCGATTATGACTTTTATAGTATTAGTGTTATAACTTTATTAATAATTATTACACTAATACTATAATATATAAAAATATTTATTAATTTATTAACACTAATACTATAATATATAAAAATATTTGTGTTCATTTAAAAAATTTGTATTATACAAAATAATAAGAATTTGATTATTATAATAATTATTTGTTGATTGATAGTTTTACGAAAC